GTGGGTGTAAATCTATAAGATTTTAATGGTAGACATGATTACATGTGAAATATATGTAGGGGTAGTTAAGATATATATCGTTATGCGTGTATGTATATATAATATGAAGTGTGCCACATATATATAAATTATATGTACAATAGATATGCAAACAAGTCAGTAAGTATAGAAATGTGAGAATATGTATATTTGTGATTAATCTTTGGGTTTTTGAAATTGAGATATGAAATAGAGATAATTTTTGAAGATGAAAAAGCTTATCGAGTATCATGGGAGAGAGTGTATAGACTTGGTACATAAGGGGGTGAACTTTACTGTGGATGTGTCCTCAGTCGTACAGGACTGAAAAGTCTCATACCGGATAAGGTTGGGAATTAGTTTAATTACACTCATACCGGATGAGATATTGAGATGATTTATAATTGTGGCACTCATTATCGGACAAGGTATTGAAACGATTTATAATTGTGGGGCCCATTACTGGACGGGGTATAGGGACGGCCAGTGAAATGTAAAAGAAATTTTTGTACATCCACGTGTAGTAGAGATCCCTATAGGCCCCTAGTGATACCGGTGATGGAAATGAGATGGTTATATATCTGGTGTGGTTGATAGTATTTATGAACGAAACGAAATTATCTAAATATGAATCCAATACAATATAATTATATTTATGAATGAGAATGATATGTACGCTACTTAAATATAAATATGTTGGAATGGGTAATGAAAAAGATTTGGTTCTTGATTATTTTTTTTGTTATACTTTGGGATAATGATGATAAGTATGATTGTCTTGCAAATTAGATTTTTATAAATATAAAATTTGCATTTGTTTTATTAAATCTATATGAATGTGCATTTTCATATCTCTGTTTTGAACACTATTTTATTCTTACTGAGTTCGTGAAACTCACTCTAATTCACACCCATCAGTGCATATTAGTTCAGGTTAGGAGTGAGTTTAAGATTAAAGAAAGACTTCGAAGAATCTTTTAGATACCTTGAACGTTTATTATAAAGTAAATATGAATATATTATTGTGATGTAATTACAAAAGATTGATGTGAGGCTAATGAATTATGATTCCGTAGTATTGTTGATTTATAGATATTAGTATAGTATTGCGTAAAATTTATCAAATTATATGTGAGGTAACACTCATTTCTTTTGAGACAAAGTGGGTTGTTACAAGGCCTATATTAAGTTACTAGACCTTTATAAATCGTTTTTGTGCTATTTCTCCCTCTCTCCCTGCATTTTTCTTGTTACTTGCATTTGTTATTATTTTGTTGTATTTATCAAACTTGAGATAAAATTCATTGTTTTACTCTTCATATAATTAACATCTTAAGTTACATTAAGTTGTTGGGTTTTTAACTTAAATTGAAAGTTATAAAACTAAACAAACTTAATTCACCCCCTTGAGTCACATTGCTATTTGGGCCAACAAATGACAAATCAATAGAGTGTTATTATGAACATCATTTATAGACAATTGATATTTAAATATTGAGATTGGATCTAATGAATATCATAGTATTAATATATATTGTTTTATGCATGAATTTAATTAATTTGAATATTTTTTAAGTATCAGTCATAACTTTTAGTTTGAATTAGTTAAATATTTTCGAAAATAGAATCTTTTTTTAAATAGATTGAGTTACATAGGGACAACGCTTTATATATTTAGATATTTGATTTGATATTTAATCTACATATTTTTTTTAAGTATTAAATTCTCAATATTTACAATTAGATTTAATATTATATTATATATTTTTAAAATTTTTACACTTTGAGATTTGATTTGAAGGTTAATACACATTATTAACAATTGAATTCTCAATATATTGAGATTTAATTTGATAGTTAATACACATATTGTTTAGCATATATTTCTACATGATTTGATATTTAATAATTGAATTCTCAATATTTTGTTATTTGATTTGATATCCAATATGTATTTTTATGAGTTTTCATATTTTCAAGAAAATTTTACAATACTTACATATTTGTTATTTAAGGTCATTATATATTGACAAATGTTATTAGAAATTCATCAAATAATATGGATTTATTTTGAAAATGCCTTTTGAAAAGTTTGCCTAATTAATTTTGACCAAAAAATTTTGAAATTTTTTTAATGACAGGAGAAATAGTCATTAATAAAAATATTTTTACAAGTGATATTTCAAATGATCAAAAATTATCTATTACAATATGAAATAATAATTTTTTAAATTCAAAGAGAAAGTTATCGTAAACTCATTTAAAGTTGGATAAATTCTCAAAATACACACTAGTCAATTAAAATAATTAAGTTCAAAAAATAGTTTCGGGCGGAAAGGTAAGGTATAATGCACCTACCGGTAGCATAAACTTTTTGAGTTCGATTAAAAATTTTTATGTTTTTGAACTTAAAATGGGACAATGATAATATAAATAAACATTAACAAAAAGAAAACAGGAAGCTCAAAACAAAATGACAAAAAGTGAATGAAAAATTTAAGAAATTAAGAACCATATATGTCAAAGAGGTAATTCTCATACTAAAAAATACATGCGTACTTGTCAAGTAAAGCACTCTAATAAACCAACATGGTGGTAGAAAGGGTTCATGAAAAAAATCAACTGAACTCTTGCTACCAAAAACACCAAATCAGCCTCTCTTAAACCTTTCGTCAAACACTTGGCCGACATTCATCATTAAACAAACTATCATACCTTAATGCTAAGTAAAAGCTCCCAAAAATTTTCCCTCATTTTGGCCAACTCTCTTCTTTCCAACCCCCTTCGAATCGCATGCACCCTTTTAAAACGGTGGCGTTTTGGTTTAGGAAAGAGGCAACGAGCATGGGGTTCTCGGAACCTTTTGCTTGGGTTGAATTTTGGATTCAAATGGGGCTTAATTGTTTGAAGAAGATGGGTTTAATGTTCTTCGTTTGGTTTAAGAAAGAGTTTATAATGGGTTGATCAGATGAGTTGGTTTGGGTTGAATTTAATTGGAATTTAATTTTGAATTTAATTCACATATTTTTTTGAGATTTTATGAAAAAGATAAACGTAGGTATTAAGAGGCGAATAAGAATATTCAAGTTAATTGTTGTTGATTAATAATCTCTCTTATATTAAAAACTAGATTTTCATCTTTTTAAAATATTCTTAAGAATGATATTTGGTTATTACGCAATGGGTTGAATATATATATGTGTGTGTGTGTGTGTGTGCATACATGTCTTATGGACTGAGGAGCTGATCATATATATTAGTCGAGTTGTATACCAAACATAGTAAGGTTCCCACTGTGGCAAACATAACACACCATCTCAAGATACAATAAGGTTGATTTTAAACATGTATTGCACGCATGTACATGTTTGGAGCATGAAACAACACATGTTTTAAGAGCATATAAAAATTATATCATTAAGTATTTTGTACATTTAAGAAACCAAATTTGCAATTTAATTCTTCCTAATAGCTAATAAATAATTAAAGGGTTTATGAAATTCTTTATAGGTTTCTAACAAGAGCAGAGGTTTCATCTTTTCTTGATCAAAAGTTAAAAAAAACCTAAGATTCTCAATCTATTAAATGTGAGTTACATAAGCAAATACATGTTTATAACATATATATATATATATATATATATATATATTACAGTGTAATCGAAATTTGAATTTGAAAATACGAACATAAATTTAAATAACTATTGGGTCAAAAAGCAGGTTGATGGCGTAATAGACTTGACATTTGCTTCATCAACCTTTTGGATTTGGATGGTTCTCTCTTTATCATCAGCTCTTCACAGAACAGAATATTACCAGACATGGAGATAATATGCTGACGAGGATGACTGAAATATATATATATAATTAAGTTGAAATTAAGTTTGGAATATCCCATCAGCATCCACTTTCTCTTGTAGATATGAAATTTTGTCATTTTCATTCATGTTGTCGCCTTTTTTTTTTTTTTTTTTTTCTTCTCTCTAAATCATTATTATATTCTTCGTTGATTTTTCTCTTGCTTACTTTTATTTTTGTCTTTTTCTGTTTTTTTTTTATTTAAAAAAGTTAATCCACAATTTCTTCATTGGTTGACATTTTTTTAAATACTTTTTTTTATTTTCTAGAAATTTATTAGACTTATGATCACATAATCCTAAATTTTCAATTGTTTTATAATTAGAAATTAGTATTTCTATTATAATAAAAAGAGATTAGTAATAAAGTAAGTTTAATGAACATCTTACTTTTTTTTTTTTTTTTTTTTTTATAAAGAATTTCGATTTACCAAGTTATCAAAAAAAAAAACAAAAATAATTAGTACAAACCTAATCTCATAATACATATTTAAACTTGCGATTTTCGCCGTATTATGACTAGAATTAGGGTTTTGTAATTTAAAACAAGTATATAACTCATTAAATTTCTAATGATTAATTATATAATCCATATAGCATGAATCATCGATTTAATAATAAACTGAGACTCTTGTCTTCTATATAAACTAAAAATGATTTAATTTCTAGTTTTATTGATGACAAAATATTACAGCAGTAAAATTGATACATAATAATACCTCTATTCAATCGAATAGGGAATTTATTGCAGCGTCAGCATGATAGACCTGAACCGATTACATGTAAAAACAAAAATAAAAAAACATAATCCTTAAGGTTTTTAGATGTCAATAACTGAAAAATAAATTAAAAAAAAAAAAAAGATATACTGAATCTTATACGTGTCTCACTTATTGAGATATACTGAATCATATCATCATTTAGGCTTGAAGTCCGATAACAAAAAAAGTTTTCTCCATTTGATTCTTGATAACAACTCTAAAATCTGATTAGATTTTTTCAAATTGACTAATAATAATATTTTTATTTAGACAAATTTATATGTATATGCTTCACTATTTTTACTTCAAATAATAGCGCCTACGGCCGCATAGAAGAGCCGAGATGGAAACAAAGGGCAAAAATCTATGAGGAACCAACCTCTGCATATTTCTTGTCTTTATACCAACAAAAAAAAAAACAAATTGTTATTTTTCTTTCATACTCAACATGGTATGCCATTGAAACCCGGTTAGAGTAACTACACAGCAAATCAAACCACAAAGCCTCCAAATCTTTTTATCAGTATAAGCTTTACCCAGTCAACTTACAGAGTTTTGAGTTTTGTATTCCTTACACTAGAGAGACAGTGAGAGAGGAAACAGTATGTACAGATGAATTCAAGAAACTGCAAGTTGACCTGCATGCCCCAAGGCAGCTTTCCATGACGATTCGAGCCGCAACAAGTGCAGTTTCTCAACAAATGGTTCTAGAATTTCTGCCTCCTCTTCGGGGGCAAATGCCATGCAAATGCTAAGCTCTTGCACTGCCTTTCCATACTCCCTGCCATTTTTATATCAAATACTCAGGACCAAGCATTTAAACTGGATAACACGGTGCACAAGCAATGCACCCAACTGATTAGCAACTTTAGCTGTAACCCATACTTTCTTTGCCATTGGATTTCTTTATAAATTAGAACACAAAAACAAAGACACAGTAACTTACGCTGACCTACCATCAGGAGCAACAAATTATGGAAATTAATACCTGCTGTAGTACAACATCATGCCATGGTCTCTCCTCAGCGCCCAATTATGAGGTTGTAGAATCAACAATCTTTCTGAGGCCATTATAGCAAGTCTGTTAATAAATCACAGTTAACATAACACACATCATATATTTTGATACCTGGACCTAAAGCAATTAATAACATGTCCACTAAAATCTAGACACAATCAAGCAAGTCATCCTAGCTTCCAGCAACCTAGATAAACAAAGCTTGAAACCAACAAAAAAGACAGATTCTTTGACAAACCAATTAGGCTACCTAGGTTTATTTCCAGGAATCAAACCCCAAAGAAAGACAATTTAGTTTCAACATACAGAAATAAGAAAATTAAGAGACCAAAAGGAAAATATTTGGATTGCTCTGGGATCAATGAAGATCAAAATAGCAGAGAGGATAGTTTAAACATTGATGTCTATATCAAATCAGGTTCTCCCTTATCAACAGAGTAATGCTTCATCATGTTGTCCAGATCTACCTCCAACTCTATCACATTCCAGCTTCGCTACTCAGAGGAAATTGTTTTCTATTCAAAGTAGACAGAAAATCCTAGTCTGATACACAGTGCAAGTACCATATAGCCATATGTAAGCCAACCATTCAAAAATCCCCTAAACCTTACATAAAAGAGCCATGACTGTACATTGTCTTGAACAGCAATATGAAAACATCATCTGGTTCCATATGTAGGAGTAGGTTACATACCAGGAGCTAACAATCTAAACCAAGAATCCAAAATAAATCTAATAGAAGAATCAAACACAAGGAAAGATGTTGCAGCTGAAGGTTAGGACGAACAAAATGACAAACAAAATGAATCAAAGAAGAAATGAGCCAACTCAACTGTACAAGGGATATGCCTCATGATACAACAGCAACAAGGATCAGAAAGAACATTATTCCACCAAAGAGGTACCAAAACTTGAAAAAAGAAAAAAAAAAGGTGAAAAGCTACAAGTACAATCCCCATTTAAGCCCTACAGCTCTTTAGGCATATCTATGTCTCTAAACTCACCACAGAAACACAAAGTCCATAAAGACTGTTGAATTCTGTGATTGTCCTCCATCATTTTATCAACATAATAAGAGACTCAAAATTTCTGGTGTTAAAATTTGTGGGGGCAACTATTGCTGAGATTTATGGCATGTGACCTGGTGGAACAACCTACCATCCATATTCAAAAGGACAGTGCAGATACTTTCATCTCCATGCTTTAAAGGTGCAATGTACTTGTTTTTAAGGGCAATTTTTTAATAGAAATGCAGCTAACATACATGGAGCCATATTCTGGAATAGGACAGGATAATAGATAAAAGGAACTAGTCTGTCACAACTACACAACAAAACTTCAACCAGCACAGAATGATAACACAGACCACATGCTATGTAACTGGAGCCTAGTAAAACAATTCTAAGAATTGACAATGCTGAATCTTTGCCAAATTAATCCCAACTTGAACATATTAATTGCAAACCTGTTAAGGACTACATAAAATGACATCCACTGACACAAGCAATAAAGATATTTGCTGCTGATTAATATGCTTCAGACTTTTTACCTGAGATCTCGAGGTCGCAACAATGGGAAGTTAGAACCACCAATCTTTTCAAGCTTTTCACTAGCATCATTAACATCCCTAAGGGGAGAAGTCAGCATCAAACCATGATTGGATCTAGAAGCATGTTTCCAGTGAAGCCTCTGCAAAATTCATATCACTATTTTATGTCTAGGAAGGCAAACATAAGAAACACACTTCAAAGCATGATCAGTTATTATTCACCATAATTAAGTTCAAGCACTATAGAAAAAGATACAAACTTCTGAATCTGCACAATTAGAACTTACAATCAAATTGGCAAGAGCAATCCCGATAATATCTCTGTTCGTAGCAATCTCAAGCCCTAAAAGTGAATTGCTAGTTAAGTCTGATGCCATCGACCGGGGATCCTCAACACACTTTCCATTGACGATCGCAAATAAGCTATGTCCAGAAGTTACCTTGAAGAGCTCCTACAAAGAGGAAAATTAAGGAATTCAAGCCTGCAATCAACTCCTCCAATCCCCCATGTCCAAATAAAACATTGGATTTCTCTGGGTCGAGATAATAGTTCTTCTTTGAAAATATGTTCAAACGTATAAATAGAAGTAGGGATCATATATGCTACATAAAAATAGATAAACTGACAAGTAAAAATGTTAAAATACCTCTGGATACTCCATTTGGGGCCATATCAAAAAATTTTCCCCAACTCGAGATCCCAGAATTGTCAGACCAAGTCGACGACAAACTTCAATGTAAATAATGCTAAGCAAAATTGCTGTCAAAAAGAGAATTATACCTTCAGCTATGACCTCCAATGTCTGGAGAAGGTTTTAAGGGAAAAATTTAATACAAGCACATATATGAAAGTGAATAGAAAGAGAATGCTGTTGCTTCCATAACAAAAACGAGAATTACACCTTCAGCTATGAGCTCCAATGTCTGGAGAAGGTTTTAAGGGAAAAATTTAATACAAGCACATATATGAAAGTGAATAGAAAGAGAATGCTGTTCTTCCATAACAGGGAAATTGCAGTAAAGAAGCTAGATACAGATGTATGAAAAAAAGTAGAATGATAATTTACCACTGCCACATCTACAGCTCAGTACTGAGTGCAAGTATGAATATTTAGAATCTACAAGAATAGGTGTCCTCTTGAAGCCTCTTAACTCAAAGAGAACTACATTCACTGCTTCCAAAACTTCAACCAAGTGGCAAGCTATATCTCTCGAAACTAGCTCTGCTTCAACTTCTTTGGCAAGTGTGTCAAGCTCAGTCATCCATTCAGACAAGCTTCTTCCAGCCAAAGGCATTTCCTCCACAGTGTTCCATTCTTTTGAATCACATGGGATATGAACATTTTTCCTTTCATTCATGAGCGAGCAAGCATCCATCTTCCGGTTAAAAGCCATAAAAGCTTCATCTTCAGCAGCAATATACAGTAAAGCCTACACCATTAAAAAGAACAAAATAGAATGTTCCAGCAATAAAAGAATCAGTATCATAACGTGAAGGGAAAGAAGACATTTCTTAATTTCAGCAAAAAACACAATGACGTAAATAAAGAGTACACAAGGACAATTCCATTATAGGCATGAGCATACGGCAATTATAGACTATTTAGACGGGCATTTTTGCACCTTAGCAAGAGAGATGTCCTTGTCCTTGGACTGGAATGATATTTCCTGAGTGAACTTTTCACGTGCAGCCTTAATAGCCTGACATTCGTATTAGTCACCAAGCAAAGTGAGATAGAGGAGTAAAGAATAATAAAAACAATAACCAAAAATAAAAAACTTCAAAGCAAAAAGATTATATTGGTAGGAAGAAATGATGAGAATGGGGATATCATATCGTAACAAATCAACCTCCTGCCAAGTTTTTTGTCGGGACGTGTCTGAGGTAAGCTGATTTGTAAAGAGTGGGTAAGCAGAAGCAGATGCAGATGCTGCTGAAGTTGAAGAAGTTGTAGTCCTAATCTGAGGAAAAGGGGTCCTCCGGTTGCTCCTCTTCATTTCAACTCCATTCCAAGAACAACGAGGCTGATCATGATCATACCTGATGATCGTAAAGAATATAAACGGATATTGGGTGTTGTCTACCACAAATCCTTCTTCCACCTCTAATGAATTTTATACATATTTTACCCCCAAACGAGCTAAACTAAAGGAGATCTAGAAAGCAAAAGCAATTATTAGTTAACATTTTAAGTGTTGATTACCTGATGGGCCGATGTTCAGTGACAGTAGGCAGGTAGAAAGCTGAAGAAGCCATTGTTACTCGTATGGCTGTCGTTGTGGGGCAACCTATGGATAGATTGCTTAAAAGAGGCGGTGAAATTGATTGAGATATACACCACATCTCCTTCTTCTCCAATTCTCTATTCCCGTTTCTGGGGAGAAGAGAGATTAAAAGAGCTCCTAATTTGGGATTATCGACAAAGTGAGGAAACAGAGAAAGAATCAGACAAGAAGCAGTAACAAAAAAACTATAAGGAGTCAATTTCAATCATGCATCTCTTGAAGCTGAGTCAGTATGGATTGAGGGAGTAGCAGCAGGAGCAGCAGTAATATTGGAGGAGAAAGATTTGAAGATACAATCAACGGTCACGGCGTCAGGGTACTGACTTGTAAACCAAATGGAAGATGTTAACGAAGAAGAAGAAGAAGAAGAAGAAGAAGAAGGAGAAGCGGCGAAACAAGATAAGCAAGAAGAACAAGAACAAGAAGCAGAAGAAAAAGAAGAGGAAGAAGAAGAAGAAGAGTGATCAGAGAAATAGATGCAAGAATTCCTCAATTCCATAATAGTATTGAGGTCCCAGCCCTGAAGCACTGAATGATGGCAACGCATTAACCAAAAATCAAAGGATTGGGGATTATCTGATGATTATACACTTGGAGTTTTCAACTCACAACAACAAAAACTGAAGGTGGAAGCATTCATGGGGGGGAAAAAGAAAGAAGGACCAGATAGAACTGAGAATAGATTAACAGAAGCAGATCAGCAGGAGGAAGCTCCTTCTTCCTCCTCCAAATTGTGGCTAAGGTGAAGAGGTTAGAGGTGGATGTAGAAACTAAAATGGCAGTATTATAGGCCAGAAGAAACAAAAGGGGTTGAGCCTAGACTGGGAGAAAGTGAGATCGGGTGCACTGGATCAATACTGAATCGGATAATCCATAATTTTGTAATTATTTATAAAGAAAAAATATAATAATTAAGCTAGGATATTTTTAGTGGAGAATTACACTAGCACTAAAAATAAAGTAAAATATAAGTGTTATAAATCTTATTATATCATATGTATATATATAGTTTACTATAAATATTACGACATATTATTAATAAAATATAAATAAATTTTAAAATTATTTAATTATTTTTTAATGTATACATTTTAACTATATATTTATTTGATAGGATTCAATCATACTAAAAAAATTAATATGATTCAATTAAGGTAAATATGTTCTTGATTTATAATTAATTTAATTATTTACGTATAACAATTTAATTAGTTTAATTGATGTATATTATATATCATGTATACATTAATTTGTTAATATATATCTAATTAATATCTAATTTATTTAATTAATATATTATTCTATTGTTATGTTTAATTAATATTATAATTTTACTTTTTTTAATTAATAAAGTTTTAAATTATGTTATACTTTTGCTTATTATACGAAAAACGTATATTTAAATCTATTATTGCGCGCGTGTGTGTGTGTGTGTGTATATATATATATATATATATATTATATACTATATATATTTGATTACAAAACCGAACAAATATGTTTGCTATAATTGGATTAATTATATATTTCAAACGAAAAACGCACACGAATAACTCTCATCCACATAAACATATCTTTGTTACTTTTTACCTTCCTTAATATCTCCATATACGTACACCAACGCCCCCCATCCTCTCCGTTATTCATACTAAATAACTTTCATCCCACCACCATCCACCCCCCAC